ATTTGGAGAAATCGCTTCTCTCCATCTTGTCTCCTTTGGTTAAATGCTGGGTGTCATGCCCTAATGCCCGTGCAGCTGGAATGCTGAATATGGTAGGTAACCTCACGGTCGTCTCCGTGGATGACTTCCAGAGATGATGGAGAGTGGTAGAAGAAACCGGGGTCAACTGGTCAGAAAACAGTTTCAGGAGTATATATTGCTTGGTCTGGTTTTCTTGTCCAGAGCTATGTTAATCCGATAGTGCTGTTTTGAAAGACACTGCAAAATACGCTGCTCTTCTACTAATAAATCATTGTATGAGCTGCAGTAGAGTTGGTAGGAGAAAAGTGGAGGAACTTTTTTAGCACATTTTGGAAAAAAAAAAGCAGAAGATTGAGAGAGAACAAGGAGGTGAAAGCGCAGAAATCTTGATTTTCTTAGGATGATATTTAAAGGGTGAATTATCTCTCTCCGATACCAATCTAAGTGCAGCAAAGTTAGTGGGAAATTCCTCTTGGCAGGGAGAGGTCCACACCCTTGTGCAGGCAGGTTGCACTTGTCCAGCTGTGAGCATGGTGGGTACAACACTAGTTGCTTGTAATATTTCATTTGCTAGTCAGGATGCATTTTTTTCCAGATGACTTGCAATGGCTTTGTAACATCCTCATATGCTAATGTAACAGGGAATGGGGAGAAACTCTATGTATCTTCCAGGTACTTGGGTGGATTTGCCTGGGTAGGCTTTTTCTGGTTTTGAAGAAAACAAAATATAGGTACAGTGGTCCTTGCTGGGTAGGCAAGGTTGGCTTCCTAACCCAATGTGACACGAGCTGTCCCTCAGATGGAATATCGGTGTTTTGTATCTTGCAGTCTGCTTGGCTCTGAGAAATTAACATTTTATTTTTAATTTTTTGCATTTGGGTTTCAGTAACGTGGTAGCTTGCAGACCTTGGAAGCCATGAGGAGCCCCTATTGAGTAAATCTGGGAGGTTAACCAGATCCACCAGCAACATATCTCTGGCATAGGGCACACTTCCTAGTCTCTCCATATAGTTTGAAGTAGTCTGCCCTCGTCTGTCTTGTTACTAGAGCATTGCACAAAGATTCCGTTAGAAATAAATCCTGCCCTTCTCAGGGTGGCAGTTGGTACCTTCGCAATGGAACTAAAAATGGCTTAGGACCATCCTTTTCTAGTGCTTTGCACAGCTGTGGTCAGAAGAAGAGGTAGAACCAGTTTTCCTTTCTTTACAGAGGTCTTTCTGGCTGCAGAGCATCATTTTAGCTTAGAAATCTTTTACTTGTGATTCAAAATAGATATGTTAAGTTTATATTAAACTGCAAGGTCCATTTTTCCTTCTGGGGAGACCAGAGCCTGGAAGGAGAGGGCTATGAGAATGGTGTTCAAAGATGACATCTGCAAGTTGTGTCCAAAGCAGGATATCACTGAGAATTTCTTGTTGCTTTTAATATTATTAAACAATGCCAAAGTCCCCAGGGTGACAAATGGATTCTTCCATACGTGTTACAAACAACAGTGAAGAACTTTGTCTTTTTTCCATCAGGCATCATACAAATCCAGTGGGCACAGAGTGGCGATGGAAGATGGACCAACCTGAAATGATCTTGCAGGAGGCTATTGAGAACCATCAGAATATGATCAAGCAGTTCAAAGGTAACTTCTCCCACTTCTTCCCTGTTAATGATGCTTTTGGAAGGTAACCGGCAGTAGCACCTTCAAAGCATAGATGAAAATGTTCTGGTCATCTGTGAAACGCTGGGAAGGAGGCGTGAGACTTAACATCAGAAAGATGGGTAAGTGAGAAGAAACTTTTGTGGCACACTTACTGTTTTCTGATATGTTCTGCCTTGGTTTTGACATGAGAATGTGAGTCAACCATTTGGTATCTGCTGCTGCCTTGAGGGAGTAGAGTGGGAGCTGCCTCTTGGGCTCTTGGTAGTGGTCATATCCTTTCCCTCCATGTGCATGGAGGCTTCCGCAGTGGTTAAAGCTGGCCTGAATGATGAGGAATCCTGATTCTTAGGTAAAAGTGAAGGCAGGTAGGAGGCAAAAGAAATCAGCCTCTAACCTGATAGGAAATATACTGCCCAGCCTTAATCCCCTGGGAGCTTTAGGGTTAGCTCTGAAACTTCTAGACTGCATTTTTCTCATTAATGAGTGAGCAGTAGCATTCAGGGTATTATTATTTTCAGGAATTATTCAATACATCTGTGTGACTGAAGCTGCAGTTACACAGCACCTCTGAAAGTACTGTATTTTGCTTCCCATAGGAACTCCTTGTGAGTTTTACTTATTCTTTATGCATCTCTCTCTTGATGTGGTTAGGTTTTTTTCTGTTTTCCCAAATGTGATAAACTTGGTTACTCTGCCAAGGTCAGCTTTGTATGCTGGGAGGGCTAGACTCTGCCCTTCCTAACCGATGGCAGAGGCTGTGCGAGCAGCAGGAGCGGAATGAAGCATCCATAAAATGTGCAAGATGAGCCTTAGTCTTGGCTGTCATTTTGGGAACCCATTTGTTTATGTTGGCTCTGCACAGAGAGAACCCAATGGATTAAAATTATGGCAGGCAAAAAACCCCTTCTGTCAGCAGAGCAGTGCTGCTCTGTCTCATTCAGTCGAGTTATATAATAGGCAGAAAAATAAGTCAACTTAGGGCCTCATGAGCTTCCTCTTCATCAGGTGGCTGGTTTGAATCATCTCACACTCTCAGACCAGCAGCTCCAGGGAAGCCAGTTCCCTAGGAGCTCCTGTGCTGACCTGGACAGGGAGCAACCAGAATAACCAGACCTGGCTGCACTCTGCACACACGTGGTCTGGTGGAGTGGGTCACACTTCTAGGGCTTGTCCAGGGGAAAAGCAGTGAAGGTGCTGTAGTGGAAAAAGGAAAAATTATGTTAATTTGGTGGGGGATGCTTTCCTTGGGGAAGAGGTAGTGAGATGAGGAGGCAGTTGGCGTCAGTAGCTCATTTTCCTTCAGACTAAGCAAAGCATGGCAGTTGGTGCTCAAGGCGGGGCAGTCTGTAAGGACGTGCAGGTCTCATTCCCTAGCCTCAGTGTTTCTTTGGTGCTGCAGCTGTGGGGCAGTGTGCTGAGTTAAGGCAGGATGCCTGCAACAGTGCTGCCTGATGGGCTGGGCCAGAGCTGCTGCAGGGTTTCGTGGCTGCCTGTTAACTCAGCTGGTGGGACGCAGTGCCAGCACAGCAGGAGTTTGGGTATGGGTGGTTTGTGTGAGCATGCAGGATGTCCCATTTTGCTTGGAAGGCTATAACAGCCATAGAAGACTCTTACAGCTATAAATAAGAATATTCATGTTTAACTCGTAAGGCGCTGTGGACTTCTCAAACTATACTCTTTTTCAGTCTGTTCTGGATAGCTAGGCTCTTAAATGAGTTGAAATGTGGCTGAGCATGCTGGAAGGGTTGTGATAGAGGTCAGTTTGGTGGCTGATAACAAGCAGAGTACTTCAGGGGTTGATTCAGGACCCTATGCTGTACAACATCTCCACCAACAGATGATGGGGATGATGACACTGAATGCACCACTGGCAGCTTTGCAGGTGATACTGATTTAGAGAAGGTGGCAGGCACACTCAGTGGCACAGCCTTACTTTGGTGGGACCTTAAGAAACATGATTATTGGGCCAATAGATGCATGTGGAGTTCAGCGAGAAGTGGAAGGTGCTGTATGAGTGTTACAATCCTATGTTGGTCCATGCTGGGAGACCCACCTGCTATGGTAGAAAAAGGGACAACAGACTTGGGTTTCTGTTCGGGAGGTTCAAGTCAGACATCAGAATAAGCTTGTTCAGCCAAGGTTGTACCCAGAGAGGTGGGGGACCCTCCAAGCTCTGAGGCTTTCAAGTCTTTTGAGTAAAGACTTATCATTATCACCCTGGGCCAATGTTGGCAAATGTCCTCTCTGAGCAGGAGGCTGGACTAGAGACCTGCAGGAGCCCCTCCTAACCAGTAGTTCTGTGACTTTTGTTATGACTTAAAATTGAAAGTCCTAAATAATCATAGAACCACAGAATTGTTTGGGTTGGAAAAGACCTTTAAGATCACCAAGCCCAAGCATTCCCCTAACCCTGCCATCCCACCACTAAACCCTGGCCCTCAGCACCTCGTCTGCCCGGCTTTTAAATACCCCCAGGGATGGGGACTCGACCCCTTCCAGTGCTTGACAGCCCTTTTGGGGAAGGAATTTTTCCCAATGTCCAACCTAAACCTGCCCTGGCACAACTTGAGGCCATTTCCCCTCATCCCATCACCCGTTCCCTTGGAGCAGAGCCCGACCCCCCCCCAGGATCCCCCCTCCTGTCAGGCAGTTGTAGGGTGGGAGAAGGGGTCCCCCCAGCCTCC